CTCACCGCTCCCCTCTCCCTCTCTCCCTCCCTCTCTTGCCCTCTCCCTCCCTCTCTTCCCTCTCTCCCCTCTCTTCCTCCTCCCTCCCTCTCTCCCCTCTCCTCCCTCTCTCCTCTCCCTCCGCCCTCTCCTCTCCCTCTCCCTCCTCTTCCCTCCATTTAGGTTGTGTGTGGTTATGCTATCCTAGATTACCAAACTCTATGTTCTTTCCCCAGGAGCTGTGAGTGGGCGCACAAATGTTAGAAACCACTTCCCACGTCCCAGCGAAGTGAAGCGTGTCAAGCGACATGGATGGAAGGCCCGTATGGCTACGCTGTCAGGACGGAAAGTTTTGATGAGAAGGATCTTGAAGGGAAGACACGTGTATAGCCACTGAAGCGTTGTCATTTTGTATTGCTTATTTGCTTGTACAATATTTTTTTATTGAATGTAAATATATGTTGTAATTAGAAAGGTTTGTCTTTTTGAAAACCTCATGTTTATAAATTGTCAGTATGTTCTGAATACTTGAAATTTGATGGTAATTTGGCAGACTTTAATGCTTTATTATAAGATACTTGATATGAAAATTATCTTCCTTTGTTAATGTAAAGAAGAATAACCATCCTGAATTTTTTTGTGTTCATTTTGAATGTAAATTTCTGGTGTTGATTTTAAGTGTTTTAAGTTTTCCTCTATTGAATTATTAAATGTAAAAGACAAAGATTTGATAATATACTTTCATCCCAGAAACGATATCAAAATAGGAAAGTAAAACACGATGTAGATAATTGTTTACTGTGACATCTTTTTTTGAAGAATCCACATATCCAATAGGAAATAAAGACAAAAAATAAAAGTAAAAATAAAAGACAAACAGTAATGTATTAAAAGCTGATTATAAGCGGATTGTACACGTTTAGCACGGATCTTATCGCACAACTTCAATACTTCATTTCTAGATTGATATAGAAGCCGATTATGTCAGTACTCGTGAAGGTCTTCAGGGAGATTAATAATGTTCGTTATGACTCAGAATAGCAAAGCAGACGTCTAGTGATATTCTACGCACAGAGTCTGGTTATAATGTCCTGCAGCACCTTTATGGTAAACAGTTTACTCACTTAATTCAATGAAATTGACACTTAGGCGCATAGCATCTGCACACCTTGACCTCATATAGTATTTTCAAAAAACATATATGCTGCAGCACACAAATGAATTTATCTAGTGCATCCGGTCTTTGATATCGACGTGAGGATCCAAAGCATTCACGCATACATCTTATATACTAAGCTTTTGTGTGTGTGCATGTGCATGAGTGTGTTTACTGGCATATATCATGTCTGTATTACGTGCAGTGTCTCACGTTGTGTGTGTAGTCGCCTACAGCCAAGAATAGATCACAACACAGCACGAGCCACGCCGGTATTCTCTAGAATCACACAATCATCATGTACAAGGCACATAGCCAAGTGTCATACACATCAATATCTCAGCATCTATCTTAAAGACACGATTACACAGTCACTTAGTAAGAGACTCCGTATCACATCCTTCTTTTAACTTGCATTCGTTTTCACGAGCTTTAAATTTAATTGCATTCAGATCGATCACACCAGGAAATATCTTCAGGAATGTCTTAATCAGGAAAAGGAGAAATGAAGACAATCCCGTTTTTTGTAATATTAGATTATTTTAATGGGTAATATATATGCACACACACACACACACACACACACACACACACCCACACACAACACACAGCATAGCATACAATATACATACACCTGAATTTATCTGAGAGAACAGATAATGATAACATGATAGAAATTAAGCTATCACCACACTCTACCTTCAAACACTTTAACTCACTCATTTAAGATTATATTCACGGTTACATGTCCATTTAATATAAAAGTGAATCGCATTTATTTCACTATAATTATAGTTAATTTACATCAAAAAATCCTATACAATGAAGGTATGTAATATTAATTTATACACACCACTTTAGAATTACACTTATGGAGTTACCATGATTTATAAGGGTCAAAATATTAATTTACTCTCCTTCATCTTCACCACGATGGATCGTGTGTTTAATAGTTTATTGAATAATTATCTACTTTATATTATATATTAGTATACTGTGAGGCGAGGCGACTGAGTAGGGAGTAAACTCTGAATAGTATTAGTGATAAGGATTGTTAATGATTATTCACAGATAGAGTAGTACACCGGTATGGTATGTATGTTAATGGTATGTATTGTTATGTATTATAGTATAATTGAGATAATATTATAATAT